GAAAGGGATGCGCTAACACGTATAAGGACGTCGACAGAATGCCGTAAAACACTTTCGGGTCCACAAGCCAATCCCGAGGGAGCGGGAAGGAGCGCAGAAACGGGACGCAGGAGACGAAAGGAGTGAGGGGGGAGGAGGTGCGAGCGAGGAGGGAAGTGATGCAAGTGTGTAGCCAGGAGGGGAGAGGAGAGGGGGGCTCGGCAGGATGCGGGTTGAGTAGAACCCTCCAGAAGAGCTCTTCCCAGAAGGAGGGGAAGACGAATACAAAGAGGATGAGAGAGATGGGGAAACCCGCTTGGGGGAGGTAGAAGGCGTCAGCCCAGGAGGCAAAGAGGTACATGAGAGGCGAGATGGCGATGATGGTGAGGAGCGTGAATCGAAGGTCGGAGGGCGTGGGGAGGGTTGTGAGGGCGCGGGATAGGCGGAAGAAGAGGAGGGAGAGGAGAAGGGGAGGCGGGGTGGGGTGGGGAGGCGAAGTCGAGCCGTTGACGGCGGTGCCTGAGGGAAGGGGGAAAGGGAACAATCCGGGAAACGAGGAAAGAAGGAATGGGGGAAAGGGAGAAGGGTAAAAGTCAAAGAGAAGGAAGAGAAGTGGGAGGGATGTAAGCAAGGAATCCAGCCGGCTTGGGGGAGGTAGAAGGCGTCTGCTCTTGAGGCAAAGAGGTACATGAGAGAGGGGATGGTGATGACGCTGAGAAGCGTGAATCACAGGTCGGACGACGTGGGGAGGGTTGTCAGCGCGCGGGATAGGCCGAGGAGGAGGAGGGAGAAGAGGGGGATAGGCGGGGTGGGGTGGGGAGAGGAGGCAGAGCCATTGATGGTGCCTGAGGGAAGGGGAGAAAGGAGGGAGTGGGAAACGGGAACAAGGGGAAGGGAGAGAGCAAAAGAAGACACAACAAAGAGGAGTTGAAAGGCAGCGCGGGTGAGGTAGAAGGCATGGGCCCGGGAGACAGAGTTGCTGGTGGAACCTGGAGGGTGGGTATGGAAGATCGGTAGGGAAGGGGAGGAGAAGGGAAGGTGGGAGTTCAGCAGGGAAGGGTGAAATCGAGATAAGGGATGTTGACACTCCATCCAAAGAGTTCCGCGTGAATGATGCACAAACAGCATCATGATTCCGCGTGAATGACGCACAAACAGCATCATGATTCCGCGTGAATGATGCACAAACAGCATCATGATTCCGCGTGAATGATGCACAAACAGCATCATGATTCCGCGTGAATGATGCACAAACAGCATCATGATTCCGCGTGAATGATGCACAAACAGCATCATGATTCCGCGTGAATGATGCACAAACAGCATCATGATTCCGCGTGAATGATGCACAAACAGCATCATGATTCCGCGTGAATGATGCACAAACCGCATCATGATTCCGCGTGAATGATGCACAAACAGCATCATGATTCCGCGTGAATGATGCACAAACAGCATCATGATTCCGCGTGAATGATGCACAAACAGCATCATGATTCCGCCCGCGATGTAACAGCAAGAGAGCGGCTCACCACGCATTTTCCACTCACGACAGCATCTCCAATACAGCATCATGATGATAACCGCAAGAGAGGGAGCGGCAAATGCATCTCTCAGGGGTAGAGAGCGAGTGGCTCATGCGTCCCCTGCTCCCTCACACAACCGAACAGAGGGCTCGCGCATCTCTCTCACAGCAGAACGATTGAAACAAGAGCACAAGGAAGGTGCATGTCAAACAGTGGAGCGTATAGATGGTGACATGTCAATCCAAGATGACACGTCAGCCCATATGCGATATTTTGAAAAAGGCTGTCACGGCAACAGAGCAACAGCCCATGAGCTGGTAATGAGGAAAGAGATGGAATTTGGGATGGGAAACGGTACTGACCGAAGCTGCTGCTGCCATTATGAGCGCCATTCGCCTCCATCCCCTCTAAAAGCGGCCCCGCTTCTGCTTCTGTGCCTTGAGGTAACGAATCTGCCATCTCGCCGGCCGTCGCATTCGCCTCTCCGTTTCTGAACTCCTCCTCCCTGGGCTCGCCGTCAGATCTGAGCTCTTGCCGCTGCGGTTGGCCGTCCATTTGACCGGCTAGCCGCTTATGGGTGTGCTGTGACGTGATACGATGGGGAATTCGGGCCAATCCCAAATAGCCAGCTGGCGATGCGGTTCCGGGAAAAAATGTCGGATGATAACGGTTTGGATGTATAATAAACGGTTCAGAACGGCTGAAGCTGAACCTGGAAGCGGAAAAGCCGTGATAAGTGGAGGATAAGGGATTATGCGAGGACGCGCGGACGATCGTACGAGACGTATTTCCTGTGCGTGCGTGCGTCGGGTCTAGAGTCGACTCAAAATATGTATCGCTTATGCGTGTGTGCGACGGGATAACGGTCGGAGACCTCGCTTGTGCGTGCGTCGGGATCGCGGTCGGAGATTTTCTTGCAGCTGCGGGGTGGTAACTCGGCGACGTGCCTGCTGCTCGGAATGTGCCTCTGGCCGGCAATGTGTCCGTTGCGGAAGATTCTTGGTGGTTTCGGGTGGGTTGAAACGGTAATGCCTCTGGCCGGCAATGTGTCCGTTGCGGAAGATTCTTGGTGGTTTCGGGTGGGTTGAAACGGTAATGAAGTCGTCGGGTTACGGAAGTATCTCGTGTATTGCTGCGAGGCGCCGGTATCCGCGGAGCAAGGCGGTCGCAGGCGGTGCAAGCGAAAGGCTCGCATTACCTTAGAGAGTGCCGTGACTAGGAGGCTCATCCAGGTGCTAGTATAGCACCACGCGGGAAGTGTCTGTTCCACTCTCTCCAGAAATAAATGCATCTGGAGGCTCTGAAACTGACTGGGATCATACGCGATAGTTTTACGGTGTTGTATGTACAAGAAACAATTACGAAAAGGTGCATACTTATTTGGTATGTCGCATGCCAGTCAATTGGAGGGTGTTCAACTTTTACCATTCTTGTTCGTTCATCGCGGTCGAAGTGGTTGTATTACGGTGCAAATGGGTGCAGAGTAATAACCGTTCAAAAACGTATGGAACCGCCCTGAGCCACGAATAATGAGCTGTAAACATACGAGTTGGGCATCCCTAAACGGAGATATGCCATCATACCCTCCACTCTCCCCAACATACCCCATTACCCTGCCACGTGGCCTCGTCTTTCCCTTAATCCCTCCGCTTCTCGCGCGTTCCTCCATGCATACGAGCCGGTTCCCTCCTCCTCGCAGCCCTCCCCTCGCAGCCCTCCTGCCGCAGCCTTCCTCGCAACCATGCATGCCTCCGCGCTGCTTCTTCAGCCCGCCTGTCCCGCGAGCATCCCTGCTCGCAGGAGTGGGTCGCGCGCAGTTTGTTACGGCGGAGCCGGGATGGAGCGTGACGGTTAGCGCGAGGAGTTTAGGAAAAGAGAGCGAGCGAAGGCGGTGTGGGGAAAGAAGGATGTGGAGAGAGCGAGGGGAGAGTAGGCTCCATCAGAAGCCGCGGCCGCTGAGTCGCTGCGCCAGTTCGGGCCTTGGCGCGCACAGAGCGTTTTGCGCGCTAGCAGCATGTTTCCGAAGGTATAGATTCAGACTCGCCAGTCTGCTCCCTATATAAGCAGGATGAACACCCGAACTCAAGCGTTCACAACTCTAGAGCACAACAATATTGTTTTTCTCGAATCTTTCCCTTTGTAAGTTCCTGTCGAGGCTGTGCAAATTCGATTGAGGGATCTGAAAAGTGACTCCTGTCGCATCTTCCGGTCATGGCAACGAGCGCGAGGCTGGCGAGGGTGGCGGTTCTTGCAAGGCTGCTTGTGACGGTGATTGCGCTGCTCGCAGCTGCCACGGCGGCTTCCGCGTATGGTCGCAACAGGGACGACTTGCCAAACTTGCACAGTTGCCATACTTCAGATCTGGTAATCTGTGAACACTTTTTTGCCGCGTGGTTGCCTTCAGGTTTGGTTGAGCAGTCGCCACTGAGTGGTTGAGTGAGGTGGTTCCAGCAACCCATGTTTTGCCGTTGAAGGGGTAGAAAGTGGTAACAAATGCAGTTCTGCTCTGGTGAGCTAGCCACGGGAAAGTTGCGCGAAATCTTCTGGACGTTTTCCGACGCCTATGACGAGGTAGGTTTGCTGCCGCTGCTGCTTCTCTCCTGCTCTTCCTGACACAGCTCAAGTTATCTCCTGATAAATCGCCACCTTGCCTAGTTGATGACAAGGGTTTGTTACTCGTGAGACCCCATAGATCAGCTTCTTCTAGCTGCATGAAAGCATCCTGTAGCCTTCCAGTGGTATCCACCGAGCTTTCTTGTTGAGATCTTGGAAGAAATTCCTAGTCTTCAACCACTTCCCTTTTTGTCACCCAACCATTGAAGCAACTGCCTTCAAGTATTTCACGATGAATCAGATCGTCGTTTCCAGCCATGGTAAAAATAGCAACTTCTTCTCGTCTAGCTGGTTGACTTTTGAGGCGACTCAAAAGTCAACTCTGCTGTCAGACACAGTGTTTTCTTGCAATCCGCATCTGAACCATATTTTGCCGCGTCGGATAATCCTGGAGCCACGCTAAATGAGTCCTGCTGCCTTGTACTTCGATTTTGCACGTTGTGATGAGTCTGTTTTGTCCTTCAGGTGCCATAATAGGTGACGATTTGCCATAAGCCCGACCATTTTAACTTCCTTGGAGTAACTCAATGCCTCTTGAGCTTAAAACCAGTTTTTCACCTGAAACAACAGATCTTCATAGAAGCTTTTACGACGAGCCAATGTTCGCTGTTTGAACACAAAGTGGTGTCGTAATAAATCTCTTGACGAGAGGAGAGGCTGATCGGACGAAGAGTGAACAGGGAAAAGCGGTCATCCACAGTGACTACCAAGTGCGTGTAGCAATTACGTTGCTGTTTTGGTGTTACTGTTATTGCTTATCAATTGCCTGCTCCTGGCTTTAAGTATCCGGCGTTGATACGACCGAGGACCCGGGGGTCCCTCCCGTTCTCATGTCACCGCCAGCCCTGCAGATTCTTTTTCCTTTCCTTTTTTGTTTTTCAGAGCCATGGAGGAGCGTGGAGCAACCAAGCGAAAGCGGAAGAGGGCAGAGTAAAACAGCAGCAGGTAAGCCCAAGGCCTTTCTAGCGGAACAGCACAGCATATGCTGTTTGGGGTTCGGGTTAGGAGACAAACGGAAAGGAAGAAGCTAGTCTGAGACAGCACAGCATATGCTGTTTGGGGTTCGGGTTTGGGTTTACTAGTTGGCGCACAGTTTGAGGGTTATCATACTTCACTTCACATGATATTGTGTTACGTGGCTCGATTAGTCCCTCACTTTACCACTCTACCTGTGCCACTCTGTTTTCGACTTGACCCTTTGAGACATCTCAAAACATTTTCGGGATCATCTGTTTTTGTTTTAACTGATGACTCTTTATCCAGACTACCACAGGTTCAGGACATGAGGCAGGTGCTACAGATAAGGGGAAGGCAGCGGCGCAGTCCAATCTGTGGCCCAGCATCTCATCGTATCTGCCTGCCACACTCGGCGAACTGCTGCCGTCAGCCGTCAACACTTACATTGTGGTGAGAGGCCATGTATGTATGTGATTTTATTGAATATAATGCTTAAGAGTCGTTTTGTTTCTTCTTCCTCTTCACCCCTTCCCATACAGTTCATTGTCCCTTCCATCACACCACCTCCCTGTGTTGTCCCCTGCCCAACCCCTTCGTCTTCACTTCGCTCTTGAACTCTTCAGCTCATCCACATGCATCTCACATGGAGCACCATGGTGCTTATCCTCTGGACCAACTTCCTTCGTTCCCTCCACTCCTCACCTCTGCCTTTCTCTCCGCTCCTTACCTCTTCCGTTTCCCACTGACAACCCATCAGCTCATCCACATCTTCTGTTTCCATCCCGCCATCCCCCCTGACAACTCTCACTTTTAGCTCATCCACGTGTATCTCGCATGCAGCACTCTAGTTCTTGTCCTCTGATCACTGGGCGTGTCTCAGGCGCGCATCATGCACAACCTGCACTAGCAGCTACATGCAACCCCTCCCTCCTCCGTTTGCGCCCCCCCCCTTCAGCTCATCCACGTGTATCTTGCATGCAGCACCGTGGTTCTCATCCTCTGGTCGCTGGGCGTGTCTCAGTCACGCATCATGCACTACCTGCACCAGCAGCTACTGGCAGGCAGAACCACCCTCCTCGAGCTGAAGAAACACGCCCTTGATTCTATGGTAAGGCTGCATTGACCCTTTCCTTCTGGTCCCTCTCTTCCCTCTTTCGCGCCGCTCCTCTCTCGTCCCTTTCCTGCTGACACGCCGGCCTTTGCGCATCACATGTATCTACTATCTAGCATGGGGCACCTTGGCTGGTTCTTATCCTCTTATTGTTGGTTGTGCGTGTTCCAGGCACACATCATATCCTGTCTGCATCAGCATCTACTGGCAACCAGGACAACCTTTCTCAAGCTGATGAATGACGCACTTGATTTCATGGTAAAACGAAATCTAGTATTCCCCTAAAAAATTCTTGTTGCGCCTTTCTGGAAATGTAATGGTAAAACCAGCTCATGCCATGTTGCAGGCCACTCGAGGAACCTCCTTTCGCCAAGCTACCAGGTACTTGGTCACATCTCCCTTACATCATTTGTGGATAATCATGGCAAGTAGTACTTGGTTGGCAATAACAATCTTTCTTGCCACATACTAATCACTACTACTAAGGTGTAGTGTTACGTAGTGCCACATACTAATCACTACTGCTAAGGTGTAGTGTTGCGTAAGGTGTAGTGCCACATACTAATCACTACTGCTAAGGTGTAGTGTTGCGTAAGGTGTAGTGCCACATACTAATCACTACTGCTAAGGTGTAGTGTTGCGTAAGGTGTAGTGCCACATACTAATCACTACTGCTAAGGTGTAGTGTTACGTAAGGTGTAGTGCCACATACTAATCACTACTGCTAAGGTGTAGTGTTACGTAAGGTGTAGTGCCACATACTAATCACTACTGCTAAGGTGTAGTGTTACGTAAGGTGTAGTGCCACATACTAATCACTACTGCTAAGGTGTAGTGTTACGTAAGGTGTAGTGCCACATACTAATCACTACTGCTAAGGTGTAGTGTTACGTAAGGTGTAGTGCCACATACTAATCACTACTGCTAAGGTGTAGTGTTGCGTAAGGTGTAGTGCCACATACTAATCACTACTGCTAAGGTGTAGTGTTACGTAAGGTGTAGTGCCACATACTAATCACTACTGCTAAGGTGTAGTGTTACGTAAGGTGTAGTGCCACATACTAATCACTACTGCTAAGGTGTAGTGTTACGTAAGGTGTAGTGCCACATACTAATCACTACTGCTAAGGTGTAGTGTTACGTAAGGTGTAGTGCCACATACTAATCACTACTGCTAAGGTGTAGTGTTGCGTAAGGTGTAGTGCCACATACTAATCACTACTGCTAAGGTGTAGTGTTACGTAAGGTGTAGTGCCACATACTAATCACTACTGCTAAGGTGTAGTGTTACCTGCCAGTTTTCCAGGGTCCATAATTGGATTCTCTTGCGTCTTGCTTCTGCCATCACAAATCGGTTGCTGTCTTCGTTTCAGCTTCTCAGAGTTTGATAATTGAATATCCCCTCCCTGGCAGGCATGTGTTCGCTGCTAAACCTGGCATGGGAGACTCAGCAACAGAAAATGCAGAGCACCTTGGATTGGCCCGTCAGATCGACAATCTGACGGCTGAAATGAACTCCAAGATGAACAGCATGATGCAGCTGCTGCAAACAGTGAAACGGGAGGTGGAGGCGGGTAGGCGGGTATCGCAGAGTGAGCCAAACGAGGAGGGAACGTGTAACAATGGGCTGGATGGGCTGCAACATTCCAGCATGGAGGAGAGGCAGGTGCAGGCAGAGGCATGGGAGGAAGAGGGGCATCCGCTGCAAGGGTTATCTGAGTCTGGGGTACGTATGCTTGAAGAGATGTTGGAGGAATGCAGAATGCAGATGAGGATGATCAGAGTTTTGAAAGCGAGGAGGGAGATGGTGGATTTGGGGGAGTTGGAGGAGGTGGAAGAGGAGGAAGCAGCAGCAGGTGAGGAGTGTGAGCCTTGGGATGAGCAGGAATTGGAGACATGGATTCAGTTTCTGGAAAGGGTTTTGAGGGAGAATAGACGGGAGCATGAGGAGGGGTCTGAACGAATGGGAAGCACGGGTGGCGTTGTTACAGGGGATGATGAGGCAGGGATGTCTGCTGGGGTGGTTCGGTTAGGCGAGGAAGAAGATGGGGATATGATGGAGAGTAGGGAAAGAAGGGCTGACACGGGAGGACGTTCGGGTGATATCAAGTCTGACGTGGCTGGTGTTGGGACTGAGGTGGAGAGGATGAAAGGTGACGTGGAGAGGTTGAAGAATGCGATGGCAAGAAAGGCAAGAATGGAGGAGGGGAGGGAGAGAGACATCGGTAGCCTGAGAAGGGAGGTGGAGGGTCTGAAAAGTTGCAGTGGTGAAGCAAGTAAGTGCCTCGACGAGCTGAGAGGTGAGATGAAGGCAGAAATGGCTGTGTTAGTGGAGCAGAGTGAGAGGAGGGTTTTTGGCAAGTTGGATGAGTGGAGGCGTGAGATGGAAGAGGGAAGGGCGGAGGAGGTAGGGAGGATGAGGGAGTTGAAAGAGGAGGTGGACGCAGGAAAGGCAGAGGTGGTAGGGAGGTTGAGTAAGATCAACCATCGGCTGGATGAGGGGAGGATGGAGGCACGCGCCAGAGCAGCCAGCGCAGCCAGTGCACTGCAGGATCGGGAGAGGGTGGAAGGGTTGAGTGTTCGGCTGGGAAGCTTCCAGGAAGTTACCACGAGGGTTGAAGGGGAAATCCGAGCTCTGTGGGAGGTGAGCATCTGATTTGGTGCTTTTCGCAGGAAGGGCTTTATGCAACATTTCTGCCTGTATCCCTTTTGTATGAACCCATTCCCAATCTTACCACTCCGAAATGCATCATTTCCTGTTTCAACAATCACAGTTGTTACCGGTCATCATCCGTGGTGCCGTGTGCATGTGATTCGTGCCATTGGCAATTTCGTCCCTCCAAGTCCTAGCACCTGCAGTTCGCCTCGAAGGCTGCAGGACGAACCGTCTCATTGTGCCTTGTGTTTTCCCTCTCTGCAGGCATTCCACAGTGTTGGGCTGTGAGGGAGGCGTTGTAAGTACAAGTGTCAGCATCAATCCTCATCGTCAATCTGCGTCGTGTGGCTTGAATCTGCGCAGCAGTCATGTCCTGGATTGGAGTCAGTTGCATCTGACTGGGATTCTGTCCTGAGAGTTTCTTCTTTAATTCACGAAAATGTTCTTGGAGGACTTTACCATGGACTGCATGAGTTTAAAGACGGGCGGGGGCCCATTGCCGAAAGAATGGAATACCTATATTGAGGGCTGTTTATGCTGGGGGTGACGTATGTTTCAGAATGACTGTGCAGGAATGAATGAACTATGAGTTGGGTACAAGTGTTGTACCCTTCGTAGGCTAACCCACTATAGCCTAGAGAGAACACAAACATATAGTTTGACACACCCCCATAGGCTAAGTGGGAGATAGCAAACACAGCAGACGGTCACAAGACCAGTCAAGCAAGACAACAGAGCAAAGCAAAGCGAAGCTCAGGGTGGATCTCAAGGACACCACACAATCTGAGCACAAGCAAGCGGCCACAAGGCCTGTTCACATGCAGAGTTATAATGGCAAGGCAGTACACTGATCACAACCTAGCAAGAGTAAACAAGCAGGTATAAAGATATATATCAGTGAACAACAAGAGCAAGTCAAGCAACCAGCAGGTGAGGCAGACTGGGCACAAGCCCAAGAGCATTGCAGAAACGCTGATCATCACCAGACCCAATGGCCTTGGTGAACACATCACCAGTGTTGGCCCGCAAGGCCACGTAGGAAAGGCAGAGCTGACAACGGTGCTGCACCTCACGCGCAAGGAAGTAGGGAAGAGCAATGTGCTTCGTTCTGTGCTCCACTCTCTATTCGTGACACAAGGCAAGCATTGCCTTGTTGTCGACATACAGAACTGGAGGAGAAAGAGGCCGCTCCCCCAAGTCGGTCAGTAGGTAGGTCAGCCAGCGTAGCTCCTGTACAGCCATGGCCCCACCGTAGATCTCGGCCTCACAGCTGGAACTAAGCACAAAGAAGAACGAGTGGACCTCCACGAGACAGAACCACAGCCAAGACTGAAGGTGTAACCTTGTGACGAACGCTGAGTCGCCTGGTCGTCGGCCCAAGAAGCGTCGGAGTTTCTTGTGAGTACCACTGAACCCTGTCCTCCAAGCACGAGCCCCATGCCCGATGTACTTCACAAGTAACGCAGTACCCTCTTTGCAGCATCCCAGTGCACTTTTCGGTGCCTACCGGGAGCCACGTAGCGAGCCAGGAGGCTGAGAGGGTACGCGAGGTCAGGTCGTGTGCACGTCATCAGGTACATGAGGCAACCCACAAGCTCTGGGTACGGACCACTCGGCTCTACGGACTCGTCCGAAGGAGGAGCTGAGAGCGAGTGGCCGGTAGACAGAGGAGTGGGCTGTGGCGAGGAGAGCTGGAAGCCGAAGCGTTGAAGGACCTGCTGCACCATGTGTGACTGAGTCAGGGTGATGGTGCGCCGTGCTCTGTCCCGGGTGATCTGCAAGCCAAGATAGCTACGCAGCTCACCCAGGTCAGTGCAGATGTGTCTCTCCTGCCGCTCCGCCTTCACTAGGGTCAGCGCCTCAGTGTTAGCAGTAGCAAAGAACAAGTGGTCGATGTAGAACGGCGGTGGGGTAGTGTCGGTGCGTAGAAACAGCGACGGGTCAGCAATCAAAGGAGCAAACCCAAGAGCCGCAAGTGTAGTCCTTAGTGTGTCGTGCCACTCTTGGGGCACCTGGCGGAGACTATAGACTGGCCGCCGGAGGCTCCACTGGGTACCCGCAGGAAAAGACCCAGTGAAGCCAGGTGGGCGGCGCAGCCAGATCTCCTCATGAAGGCTGCCCTGCAAGAAAGCTGTGGAGAAGTCGAGGGAGTGCAGCTCGTAGTCACGCTGTGCTGCAACGTGCAGCAGCATCCGAAGAGTAGTCATCTTCGGGGTGGGGGAGAAGGTATGGAAGAAGTCGACCCCCTGTCGCTGACTGAAGCCTCGAGCAACATAACTCGCCTTGAAGGCAGGCGGAGATCCTGGCGGCCGCTTCACTATGAAAATCCACATGCCATCTACTATGTTCGCTCCAGGAGGAGGAACCTCGTCGACGTAGGTCCCTGTGGACTTCCAGGAAGCCATCTCTGCGTTCATGGCTGTCTGCCTTTGAGAGGAGTACTCACCCGCGATCGCTTCAGCATAAGAGCACGAGGTAGGGATGTCAAGTGCATCCGGGTCTCCCTCAGGGCAAAGCAGCATGGATGCGAAACGAGGTAAAGAGGCCGCAAGACATTCAAGCTCAAACTGTATGTCCGTAAGTACGTCACTGCTAAGGGCAGGCTCACCCCCGACGGACGGAGGACAGACAGACTCAGACTCAGTGACAAGACTCGCGACGTAGTCGAGACAAATCCTAGCTGCAAAGTCGACTAGCTCAGTGGCTAGCGCAAACGCTGCAGTAGACTCAAGGTCGGGGTCAGTGACGACAGTAGCAAGGAGACAAGTGACAGTAGGACTAGCAGCACGAGCAAGGTCGGACTCAGGGTCACGAACATGCGGGAGAGAGGTGTCAGATGTATATGCCTTAGCCTATGTAGGCTGTAGTGGGGTAGACACTAAGGGGTACAGGTTTTATATTTGTATCTCACACTTTCCTAGTTCATTCATTCCTGTTTAATTCTTCACATGGTATAGAGCGGGTTCCCTCATGGGACCGTTCCTTCCTAAGGGCCCACCATAAGCAACTTTTTTTTAGCTGCCCGAAGCACGTCTCGCGCCCTGCCCTAAATTTGTTTTTTTTTTCTCGCGGCCCCCTAGCGACCCCTAACGGCCCCTACGCGGCCCCTACGCGATCCCTACGCCGTCCCTAAACGGCCCCGTCGCGGCCCCGTACCTGACGCGGCCCCGTCCCTGACGCGGCCCCGCCCCTACCCGGCCCCTACGCGGCTCCTACGCGGCCCCTACGCGGCCCCTACGCGGCCCCTACGCGGCCCCTACGCGGCCCCTACGCGGCCCCTACCCGGCCCCTACGCGGCCCCTACGCGGCCCCTACCCGGCCCCTACGCGGCCCCCTGCGCGGCCCCCTACGCGGCCCCTCAGCGGCCCCTACGCCGCCCCTACACGGCCTGACCCGGCCCCTACGCGGCCCCTACGCCGCCCCTACGCGGCTCCTACGCGGCCCCTAAACGGCCCGACCCGGCCCCGTACCTGACGCGGCCCCTACGCCGCCCCTAAAAGGCCCCGTCCCGGCCCTACCACGGCCCCGTCTCGGCCCCGTCCCGGACCTGCCCCGGCCTCGACTCCGTCCCGGACCTGCCTTGGCCCCGACCCCGTCCCGGACCTGCCCCGGCCCCGACCCTGTCCCGGCCCTACCTCGGCCCCGTCCCGGACCTGCCCCGGCCCCGACCCCGTCCCGGACCTGCCCCGGCCCCGACCCTGTCCCGGCCCCGTTGCTGCCCCGTCCCGGACCCTGCTCGGAACCGACCCTGTCCCGGACCTGCCCCGGCCCTGACCCTGTCCCGGCCCCGTTGCTGCCCCGTCCCGGACCCTGCTCGGCCCCGACCCTGTCCCGGCCCTGTCACGGCCCCGACCCAGTCCCGGACCTGTCGGCTCCGCCCCTGGTAAGAGCCTAGCCGGGCCGAGCCGTGCGGCCGAGCCGCACTGCTTTGCCGAGTCGCCCTGCCGAGTCGCACTGTCCTGCCTCGCTCAGTTGCACTGCTGCCGCTGCTAGTCTGCTGCTGCTCCTATCATGGCTAGTCCTAGTCTTCTCACCTTTGATGCTGAGGGTCGAGCGGTTGACTTTGATGTCTGGCTAGATGATCTGCAGCTTTTCCTTCAGTGCGATAGCAAGGATAGTCTCTCCATGTTTGATCTTACGTCGGGCGCCTCTACTGCCCCTGCTGCTGATGCTGACAGTACCGTTTGCTCGCAGTGGCTCACGCGCGATGCTGCTGCCCGCCTTGCTGTGCGTAGTCACCTACCGTCTACTGAGCGCGCGCACTTTAGTCAGTACAAGAGTGCTAAGACTCTGTACGACGCAGTAGTTGCACGTTACTCTTCCCCTGCCACTGCTGCGCTTAGCCGCCTCATGCTACCGTACCTGTTCCCTGACCTCGCTGCTTTTGCCACAGTCACTGACCTCATTACGCACCTCCGCACTAGTGACACTCGCTACCGCGCTGCGCTTCCTGCTGAGTTCTGCACCCAGAACCCCCCCCCCATGTACATCACCCTCTACTACCTAGTCACTCGACTCCCTGACACTCTCCGCTCGGTCAGGGACCACTTCATCTCTCTTTGCCCTACCACCCTCACTGTCGACCTCCTCGAGGAGCGCCTCCTTGCAGCAGAGACTAGTATCACCGCTGTAGGCGCCTCTCGTGGTGACCCCCGTACCCCTTTCTTTGAGGGGTGCTCCCCCGTTCCTCTTTTGCCCTCTGTTGCCTCTGCTGCTGCTGTCGACCTTGTTGACACCGAGTCGGTCAGCGCTGCGTCTGCTCCTAGTGAGAGGCGCCGCATCAGCAAGGGCAAGCGGGGCAAGGGAGCTGGAGGAGGTGGTGGGGGCGGCGGTAGTGGCGGTGGAGGCGGAGGAGGGGGTGGGGGTGGGGGTGGTGGTAGAGGTGGGGGCTTCGGTGGCGGCGGTGGAGGTGGAGGCGGCGGTGGCGGTGACGGGAGGGGTGGAGGAGGCGGAGGCGGCGGCGGCGGAGGTGGAGCAGGCAGAGGCGGAGCTGTGCAGCGGGGACCCCAGCAGCAGCAGCGCTCTCGTGAGACCCCTTCGCCCCAGCAGCTTTGTGAGTGGTACGCGGGGCGCCAGGGGTTTGGGGGTGCTGGTCCCTGTACTTACGTCCTGCGCACCTGTGACCGCACTGGAGAGCAGTGTGGCGGCCTGCACGCCACCCAGCGCTGCTTCGGTCGCCTGACGGACGCCTGGCGTGCCCAGTTCCCGGACGCCACTGAGATCCCTCGTTGGGGAGATCTGCTCAGGTTGGGGGTAGTTATCTTTGATCTTGACTTTGATGCTATTCTTGCTGCCATGTATG